CTTTTGCAGTCGTCAACAGACAGGCAAATCTACTGGAGGAGCTTCCAATGATTCTAATTCACAAACTCCGTTTTCTACGAGGAATGCCATGGCCAAGCCCCATGTAATGTGAACATCCAAATGACAGTGCATTAGCCACACTCCTGAATTAAGTTAAAATTGCTAAGTTTGTATATTGTAATGTGAAATTGTATAGGAAAGAATTGGGAATAATAGGAGATATAAGTATTTGTTCTCTTACCTGGATTGTTCGCGACAAATCTGATGACTGTCCATCCGTTAACGGGTACACTTGCTGTATTTCTAAGAGGTGGATCAACAAGGTTGAATTTAGATGTATCTGTTTTTGGATTGAAGTTGCCGAAACCTTCTGCAATGATGTAGAAATCATATCCGTGAAGATGTATTGGGTGGTTCTCAGCTGAAAAGATACTAGTCCCCTGTAGCACAACTTGCACTCTTGCCCCATATTTCAGTTTGTACAGCTTAGTTCCCCGAATAGGTTGCCATAAAGACTGGCTTACGTTGCCGGTATAATCAAATTTTACAGGTGGCATAGCTGGGAAATCAGTTGAGAAAACACCAGGTATTCCTTGGTAATGTGCTTGTAGCAGGGAATTATTGGATGGTAGCACAAAAGATACATTGTTCATACTCGCAGTTAATCGAGTCCCACTTGGACCTTGACAGTAACTGGAAGGTGCACCTCTTGGGCAGTTCTCGAGTCCCAGCCCAACTGTGAAGAACAGATTTTCATCGATTTCCTTGGGAACCTCGACCTTTCTTGGGCTTCTGAATTTGGTTGTGAAGGCTGTGGCAGTGGCTGTGTCATTATATTCTGGTAAAGATGGGAAAACCGGTTTGGTCTTGATACAGTTCGAAGAACAAGAAGCTGTGTTGTACTCGAGGATGGCTGTGGTTGTGGTATCATCAAAGGGGGCGCCTTGAGCACTAGCATAGGCACGTGCTGCCATGTAATATCGAGCTGGTTGTTGATCAGCTTTGATCAGGACATCAGTTGTCTGGCCTGGTCCGAGCATAAGGACTGATGTTGTGAAGGGTTTAACATAAGAGGCATCTGCTCCAACAACAGTAAGTTTGTGATTGGCCACAGCAAAGAAAAGCTGCTGGTTCAGTGCAGTGTTGATAACACGAAGGAGGTTGGTTTCGCCAGAGTCTATATGAACTACGGTGGTATCTGCATAAATATGATTTCTATGAAAATATGTCCTGAGCATGTAAGTTTACTAAATATTTTTGCTTTTAGAAGTAATCTCGACTGTGTAAAAAACAGTCGAGATACAACTTCTGTAGGTCTTATTTTAGTTTCTAAGGCAAATTTTTGGTACCTTGACTGGAACATTTGTAGAGGTCACCTGGTTGAGAATTGACGGTGTATGCATCAGATAGATTAGGAGCTGCTCCTGTTCTTGTTGCTTGTCTTACAACGTCAATAGGGTTCGTATTCCACCACTCACCTAATTAATCAGCATTTCCAAAACTATCATTTTGACAAAATTTCTAAGGGGAAACAGAATATAAGCAAATGCCTAAGTAGTATTTCTGCTGGTGTTAAGCGAAGGTAGAAGTAGTACCGAGCAGAATTGGTGTTTCTCTTTTGGGCTTTGGAAATGGATAGATTTCTCCTTCTTTTGGATTGATAATTAAAGCTCCATAAACAGTAGCCCTAAGCCACGAGCTGTGGGCGTGCCACCAAAGAGTCCCTTCTTGTCCTTGAATGGTAAACCGGTAAGTGTAACTCTTTCCAGGTCTAATCGGGCACTGAGTGATAAATTCTGGTCCATCTGCCCATCCGGTTCTCATTTGCTTAACGCCATGCCTTTTGAAACACAACATATTAGTATAAAAGTGTAAAATATAAGTCATGAAATATAATCATGTCTTAGTCTTTTGGAGTAACATATATCAGTTCATTTGAGTTCTGCATGCATGAACTTACCAGTGAATAGTGACATTATATCGAGCTCTATTCACAACGTTAACCACTAGAGTATCCCCGTTGTTTACTTCCAATGTTGGTCCAGGGAATTTCCCATTCACCGTTATGATGTTGTGGATTTTGCACAGCCTCTTCACTAGTGTTGCTTGAATCTGTTACAAGAAAAACAGAGGTCAGTATCATAGAATTTATAAAATTTACGAGATGTTAGTAAATAACAAAGGGAAATCTTGGATATATTACAACAAAATCATGATAATGAGTTTTCGCAGATGCTGCATTTGCAAAGAGAAGCAAAATGCATACAAAACATAAAGAACTCAAAGTGTTAGTAATGCTTTTGAAGGCCTCCATTTGTTCCCCTTTTTTACTAAACTCGATTCGAGTATTAGTAGAAATGGAAGTCAGTGCTTGTTTGTGAAAGATCTTAGAGTTGAGGGATCTTTTTTTATAGATAAAAGTTGTGTGAGGTTGACAGATTATGTTACCAAAAAAACTTAGTTAAGCTCTGTAGAACTGATTGATTCATCCACTTAACTTATCTAACAGCAGCATTTTTCATGAACAATGCCTTGCACTATAACTACTTGACTAATTAGATTTTGCTTCACATTAGCAATGTGATGTTATACAGCAAGATGCTGTTCTAAGTTGCGCGGACTCTCCAAAAATGCACTAGTGAAGGATCGACACATACTCGATGACATTTTAGAAGAGTCCGAGCAACATAGCTATTGTTTATTGTGATGATTATGATACCACCTTCCACCTATCTTCATCAATCACAAATTGATAAAAGATGAAGTTTTGAGCTTTTCTGATTCAGAGTTTGTGCTTGACATACAATGTATTTATACTATTTTCGTAGTTTCTTGATCTTCGATTTCGGCTAGTGGTGCTTTTTTTTTTGTTCCGATTATTGCATTATTATTGTGTTGTCGTTAGTGTTCTTTTTCATGTTTGAGGTGTGTTACTTTCTATTTCACATTGTTTTGTTGTTGTTGTTGTTGTTGTTATTACTCACATATTTGTATCTACTGGCGGATCTAGAATTTTCAACAAGAGGTTTAAACAAATCGAAAAATATAATGCTTGAGATTAGAACATAGAATCAAAGTAAATTTTGAACTCGTTCAACCACTGAACCAATATCTAATCTTATATTCAAGGGATTAAAAATCTATACATAATTTTTTTTAAAAACACCTTATATATAATATAATTTTTTGTCGAGGGTTCAGGTGAATCCCCTCGCTATCTCTAGATCCGGCCCTATCTATATCCCCTTTTCAAACCGTTAGGTAGACTTTATTTAAGCTAAGGGTCTATCTGAAATAATGTTCTATCTCTACGAGGTAAGAATAAGGTCTGCGTACACTTTATTCTTTTTAAACTTCACTTGTGGAATTACACTGAGTATATTATTGTTGATGTTGTTATTTAGTAGTTTAATAAACTAATGTCATCAAAGCTCTTAAGGTAATTAAAAAATGACTTATCTCACTATATTTCAACTCCAAGGGACCGACGTAGCTGTAAACAGCAATTTGTTTACTTATTAAAACTCTTGTAAAGTAGTGGCCAAGAATTAGTTAAAACGTAAATATCTCATTATGTTTTTTGTTTTGTTTTGAACCATTGGGTAACTCAGGATATGAAGTTTACGAGTTTAGAATTTTTAGTTCTTTTTAAGTTATTGAGTTCTAAATTAATACATATTGAATGATTTTCTTAAGACAAATAAAATTTGGATCAAAGTTACTGAATTTGGACGATTCCATATCTGAACGTCTAACTATAAAATGTACATAGACTAAAGTTACTGAATTTTCGTAAACTATATTCCAAATCAAATTATATCACATAAATTGTGACGGAGATTGTACTAATTAGATAGGTTTTTGTGTATTGACTAATCGTCCATAACAATGACAATTTTGCAAGGAATTTATAGAATTAAAAATGCTACTTAACCTAGATTGCATCAAATGTAGTGGATGATGAGGTTAAAGATGGTAAAGAGTCTTCTTCAGTTTGTTGTGTCTATTAAATTAGCACTTTCTAAAACATCTTATTGGTTCTCAGTTCCTTTTTCTAACTATATATAAACAAACACTTGATCTGATAAATGATGTCTTGAGTAGGTGGTCTGTTACGCGGTTTTAATTTATTTGTCTTATTTATTTTTAGTTCGTTAAACATATGCTCTTTCTTTTTTGAAAACATCTAAATTTCAACATTTCACATATCTTGTTTTTTTTTTTATTGCAAGGAGAGAGAGCAATATATTTTATTAACAAGAAAAATATATATCTTGTTTAAGATCGTAAGATTAAAGAATTTTTTAGAACATTTTACGTATTTTTAATTTAAGACCATAAATTTTAAAAAAATTCTTTATTCAAAATAAAATAAAATCAGAAAATAAATTGAAATAGAAGGAATTATTCTCTTATCCTTAAACTTCTCCATAATCCTTATTTAGGGATGGATTTAATATTTTTGGGTTATATAAATTTGTGTAACAATTTAACTTAAAATATAATTAAAAAATTTGTTAATGCTTATACAAAACTATTGAGTTTACTTTCATGTTGCGCGCACACATATTTTAGCTCTTTTTTTTATTATACATAAATATATCTTTTAACTTGATTTCATCTAATATCTATGTCTTCTAACTTGAAGCCTGCACAAGTAAATACTGAAATTTGTATAAAATTAAACACTAGACACACACGTTCTACGTGATATAGTGTACGGGCTACACACAAGGTGCCACATAGGACACATAATTGCAACATAAGAAGTGCGTATCTACTTATGCACACTCAAAATTGAAGAACGAAACTAAATTAAATGACATATTTATGTATTAACACGAATTTGCGTGAATTATTTTTTTCTTTTTGTTACGTAGAAGTAGTGTCGAATCTAACGTATATGGTAGTGTTCAAGAAAATTCAATTACTTTTACTAAGGATAAATTTTATATGTGTACTAAAAAAATTTATACCAAATATTTATAAGTATTTAATTATAAACTCAATTAAGTATTTACTTTTGCCAAAAGAAAATGTTTGCAAGCAAAATTTGCTGAAATCACAAATTATGCTGATCGGAGTACTTCAGTCGCCGGCGGGAAAACGTACCAATGCCCCCACCATATTGACCGCCAGAGCCCGGAGGAACTGAAGCTCAAAGGCTGATGAACAAACATTGCAATCATGGAACGCGAAGGTAACGATTGATTAGGTCTGCTTTTTCGCTTAATTTCTCCAAAGTGATCTGTCTTTTTCCCCCAATTTATTACGTACTATTTATGCAATTCTTACTGTTGCTCTGATGTTCGTTACACTAACGGAGAGTCTTTCGGAAGCAACCACTTTACTGTTTACTCTTTATCTCCTTGAGGTAGTGGTAAGGTCTGCGTACATTGTATGCTCTTGATATACTATACTGGATTTGTTGTTGTTGTTGTTGTTATAGCAATGTGAGATTCAAGTTTAGTTCAAAACTCAAGTAAATTCTTCTGCACTCGAAACAATACAACTGGTTTAATCTGGGCAATATGCTGCCTTAATTCTAAGATATCTGGTGTATTACATAGCAATTTTTGGCACTATATTGACCATAAATTCTAGGAAAAAGGGGGAAAATGTAGTAGAGCAAACAAAAAAAAAAAAGAACTTGCCCTAAAAGGGGGGAACAATATCACTTGGAATTACTAAAGCAATTAAATTGATTTCTCTAGGGCTTTGAATTTTGTATTATGTTGCTTGTTCCAGTTATCAGCAGACAGGCAGATCTACTGGTGGAGTTTCCAATGATTCCAATTGGCTGACTCCGTTTTCAACGAGGAACGCCATGGCCAAACCCCAGGTAATGTGAACATCCAAGTGACAGTGCATTAGCCACACTCCTGTATTAAGTTAATATTGTTAAGTTTGTATCATTGAAATGTGACATTGTATAGAATATTAGCATATTAGTATTTATCTTACCTGGATTGTCAGCGACAAATCTAATGACTGCCCATCCATTAACGGGCACACTGGCTGTGTTTCTGAGTGGTGGATCAACAAGGTTGAATTTAGATGCATCTCTTTTTGGATTAAAGTTACCGAAACCCTCTGCAATGATGTAGAAATCATATCCGTGAAGGTGAATTGGGTGGTTCTCAGCTGTGGAGATATTAGTCCCCTGTAACACAACTTGCACTCTTGCGCCATATTTCAGCTTGTACAGCTTAGTTCCTCGAATAGGTTGCCATAAAGACCGGCTTACATTGCCAGTATAATCAAATTTTACAGGTGGCACAGCTGGGAAATCAGTTGAGAAAACACCAGGAATGCCATTGTGATGTGCTTGTAGCAGGGAAAAATTGGATGGTAGCACAAAAGATATATTGTTCATACTGGCAGTGAATCGAGTTCCATTTGGACCTTGACAGTTTTTAGAGCGTGCACCTCTTGGACAATTGTTAAGTCCTAGCCCAACAGTGAAGAATAGATTTTCATCGATTTCCTTGGGTACCTCGACCTTTCTTGGGCTTCTGAATTTTGTTGTGAAGGCTGTAGCAGTGGCTGTGTCATTATATGCTGGTAGAGATGGGAAAACTGGATTGGTCTTGACACAATTGGAAGAACAAGAAGATGTCTTGTACTCGAGGATGGCTGTTGTTGTGGTATTATCAAAGGGGGCGCCTTGAGCACTTGCGTAGGCACGTGCTGCCATGTAGTATCTGCTTGGTGGCTGATCAGCTTTGATAAGGACATCAGTTGTCTGGCCTGGTCCAAGCATAAGGACTGATGTAGTGAAGGGTTTAACATATGAGGCATCTGCTCCAACAACAGTAAACTTGTGGTTTGCCACAGTAAAGAAAAGCTCCTGGTTCATTCCAGCATTGATAACTCGAAGGAGGTTGGTTTCGCCAGAGTCTGTATGAACTATGTTGGTATCTGCATAAATATGATTTCTATTAAAACATGTCCTGAACCAGTAAGATATCATATCATAGTTTAGTGAATGCTAGCATACATTGTTAGCTGGAAATTATTCCTTTTACCATGTATAAATTTGCTTCTATTATTTGATCTTTTAAGAGTGTTAGATGATTTTACTGTCTTGAGTATTTGAACAAAATAATTTTGCTTTTTGAAGTAATCTTGACCGTCTGTACAAAAGAGTCGAGACACAATTTCTTTCTGATGCAAATTTCATGGTTACCTGTTTAAAATTTTCTGTGAGACTAGAATTTAGAGCTAACCTTGACTGGAACACTTGTAGAGGTCACCTGGTTGACCATTGATGGTGTAAGCATCTGATACATTAGGAGCTGCTCCTGTTCTTGTAGCCTCTCTTACAACATCGATTGGGTTTGCATTCCACCACTCACCTGATCAGCATTTCCAAATTATCATTTCAACAATATTTCTAAAAGGAAACAGAATATGAGCAGATGCATAACTAGTACCCCCTCTGTTGGATTTTATGTGAACCACTATCCTTTTCAGTCAAACAGGGGCACATGAAATGGGACAGAAGGGTATTGTTTTTGAAAATTGGTCAAAGCTTCCGATGATAAGAGAAGGTAGAATTATTACCAAGCAGAATAGGTGTTTCTCTTTTGGGCTTAGGAAATGGATAGCTTCCTCCTTTTGGGTGAATAATTAGAGCTCCATAAACAGTAGCCCTGAGCCATGAGCTGTGGGCGTGCCACCAAAGTGTCCCTTCTTGTCCTTGAATTGTGAACCGGTAAGTGTAACTCTTTCCCGGTCTAATTGGGCACTGAGTGATAAATTCTGGTCCGTCTGCCCATGCTGTCCTCATTTGCCTAACTCCATGCCTTTTGAAACACAACAAAATAGTATAAAAAAGTAAGAGAAAAGGTCATATGAAACTTAATCATGTCTTATTCATTGGAGTAACATATATCAGTTCATTTGAGTTCTGCATGCATGAACGTACCAGTGAATTGTGACATTATATCGAGCTCGATTGACAACTTTGACCACTAGAGTATCCCCGTTGTTTACTTCTAATGTTGGTCCAGGGAATTGTCCATTCACCGTTATGGTGTTGTGGGTTTTGCACAGCCTCTTCACTGGTGTTGCTTGAATCTGTTCCACAAAAACAGAGGTCAGTATCGTAGAATTTGTAAAATTTATGAAATGTTAGCACTTAGCAGATACCAAAGAAGCGAAATCTTGGATGGCTTACAACAAAATCATGGTAATGCGTTTTCGCAGATGCTGCATCTGCAAAGAGAAGCAAAATGCACAGAAACAAGAAATAGCACAAAGGTTTGACAATGCTCTTGAAGGCCTCCATTTGTTTTCCTTTTTTTCTAAAACTCGATTCGAGTATTAGTAGAAATGCAAGTCAGTGCTTGTTTATGAAAGATAGTAGAGTTGAGGGGTCTGCTTTTATAGGGGAAGAAGTAGAGATAAAAATTTTCTGAGGTTGACAGATAATATTATCAAAACTTAGTTGAACCCTGTTGAGCTATATTGGTTCACCCACTTGACCTATCTAACTGCATAAATTTTCATGAAAAATGCTTACACTAGAAGTCTCTTTCTTTGAAAAATCACTTCTATGGTTTTTACTTAACATTAACGATGTGCTGTTATCCAACTAATTGGAGTTGTTGTTATGACTAAAATTCAAGGGAGTCCAATTGAATTTCTTTTGTCGGAAAATATTATACCGGATAAATAGGATAAAAATAATTTTTTTATTATAATATATAAACCGTTGAATCCCTTCAATATAAGGGAATATTCTAGTGTTAAGGGTTCAACAGTTGCTTTAGATATTAAGTTCACATGTTCTGCGTCAACCTACAGATGCACTAATTTGTAGGTGTGAAAATATGGTACATTAAGGTGTTAAAAGGAGAAGGGGTAGTATCTAGAAATCACATGGAAGGAAGTTGTCTCGATAGACCTACAGATACTTGGTATCAATGCATATACATATAAAGCTTATTTTTCACTTTTATTTTGTTTAATATGATGATATGAAATGAGTTTAAATGAAAAAGTGAGGATTCATATGGACGATCTCAACTTATTTGGGAGCGAAATCGTAGGTGGTGTTATTATTGTAGGTTCAACTCCCGATATGACATTCTAGTATAAATTCCTGACTCTGTTACGACGAGGAGGTAAAAGTCATTGGTGAAATTATAAAATCCTACTACACCCGAAGTCACTAATAGATGATGATTAAAATCTTCAGAAAAGTGACAGTTTGGTTGTTAAAAGATTATAACTAAAGTATGGTAAAAACGTAATAGGATAAAGTCTAGTGATGATGAAATTAAAGACTACAAAAGTCTTCTTCTGTTTGGTTTTGTCTATTTAAGTAATCCTTTTAAAGATTTGATTGGTTTTGAATTCTAACTATAAGTTCTGTTAGAGAAACCTACAAAAACAAACTTTGATTTTTATTAGTTATGTCTTTAAGTAGGTGGTCTGTCAAAAACTTTTTTTAAAAAAAAAAAACACAATCTCCCCCTAGAGCTCTAAAGTAACGGGTAAAGTTGTTGTCATGTGATCAGAAGATTACGAGTTAAATCATTGGAAACAAGCTTTGATAGAAATGCAATGTAAGATTACGTAGAATAGGCCCTTATGATCGAACCTTTCTCCAAACCCTGTGCATAGCGCGAGCTTTAGTGTATCGGACTGCCTTTTTTAAATCTCCCCCAACCCCTCTTTGACTTCTTGTCTTTCCTTTCCTCGTTTTGGAGCATTTAAAAAGAAAAAAAAAGAAGAGAAGAATGCACGTGTTACAATTTTATTCCTTTATTTCTTTCTAGAGATTTTGTAATTTGTAAATATGTAGCACAAATGTGCACGGCAGGGACTATTTCAATATTTAATACGGAGTATATGACATACGGTATGCATTTCAATTTCATTTCATTTTTTTTTTATATTTAGTATGAAATTTGGTATCTATGAAATACCAAAATACTGAGTATCATACGAAATACTTATATATACGATACTATTATGGTAATGACGGTTGATATAATAATTGTAAATGATTGTTAGCGGTGGTTATTGTAGCTTTTTACTTGTGCATTTTTCGCTAACATGTTTTGAAACACGATTATTATTGAAAACAATTTTTTTACCTGACAAAGATAGGGAGAAGATATGCATACGCTATATTTTCCTCAAACTTCACTTGTAGAATATGATTGTGATGACCAATAATTATGGCAATTACTGATTGTGGTGATTTAGCTATAGTGGTAGCTAGGGGTGGCAGAATGGATAATTAATATGGGTATTCGCTCATATTTACCCATTTTAAATGGGTTGGGTATCCAACTCATTTAAAAATAAGTAAAAACGAATAATACATATATTACCCATTTAAAAGTGGGTAATTAAATAGATAAAAAATGTACATTCACACAAACAAACAAAAAGTGATAAAGGGTGGGGTAGTAAGAAAGTCTTTTTTTTTGGGATAGGGGGGTGGGGTTTTGGGCCCTTTTGTTTCACTCCAGCAGGCCCAATTCCCATTTCCAATCACAAATAAATTCCCAGCCCATTATACTCCCTCCAGCAGCCCAAATCAATTACCCCTAGCCCAATTCTTTTCCATTCCAACCATACCCATAAACCCAAACCCACAACAATACAATACATATAACAACAATACAATACATACGTACAGCAGTAGCAATTCCAGCCAACCCCCATCCCCTTTCCCTTCACAATTCCAACACTACAATACGATAAACAACATCCATACAGTACCAAAACAGCCCCTGCCAGCGTCTTCCTCTTCCCCAGACGCAAATCCAAAAATGTCAAAGCAACAGCAGTCCAAATCTCTGCAACAGCCGCCCATCTTAATCTTGTCATCCGGATTTCGTGGGATTTGGGTTGATTTCTTGTAAAAACGAGCAGCTCTTTGGTTCTTGAAATTTTTTGAATTGAGGATTGAGTGGGAGAATTCCTATTCTATCCTTTCCCCCGAGAATCCGAGCCCTAATTCCCCCATCTATATAATACCCCTTCTTATTCATTGTTTAGGAGGGGTTTTTTTGGTTTTTCTGGAAATTTTTCTTGAACAATTAATTTTTGCACTTGAGAAATTTGGAATGCATTTTTAGTTCTAGGTTCTGAAAGGGTCTTCGTTTAAAATCGATTTGGATATTCTGATTTCATCGCTCGAGTTTTGAAGTAAGTGGTGAAGTCGCTTTGAGCTTGTAGCCGTCCCGATTCGCTGCTCTCGAAAAGGTAAACCCCCTTTTGATTTTAACTCATTTCAGTTTGTTTTGTTGCTTCCTCGATTGACTTTGTTCTTTGCTTGGCTCATGGCTGTTGTATGATAAAAGGTTGCTTGGTTTCGAATTAATGCATATTCGTCGATTACCACTTGTTATCGTCCTTATGATTTATTACATCTTGAATAGTGCACCAGGTTACATCTACTATATGTTTTGGACGTTTTTGAGTATGTGAAATAAGTTTGAATTCATTTTTGTGTTCTCATTTCCTTTATTATTATTTTTACTATAAGTAGGCTAATTCTTGAGCATAAGTTAAGCATTTGCCTGCTGATCATGGGGTGGTTATTTTTTATTTTTTTATTTTTTACATTTTTTTGGGATAGCGGGGTAGGGGAGGAGTGGTAGGGGGTGGAATGAAGTGATAAAAAAAAACTTCAATTATTTTTGGTTTTAAAGCTTTTAACAAGATTTCTATTATAATATGGATAAATATGGGTACCCATATTATCCATTGGGTAAATCATTTTTACCCATTTAAAATGTGAATCGAGTCGAGTAACTTATTCATTTTTATTTAACTCGTTTTTTGATCGACTCATATTCGACTCGACTCGCTCGTTTGCCACTCCTAGTGGTAGTTGTGGTTGAGGCTGTTGGTTATGGGTGGTCGACGAACTTACTAGCTTTTCTATAGACTCTATATGTGTATTAGAAAATTAAATGAATATATATATGTATATTAACTTGTGAACTTCTTAACAAAACTGATTGACGGTTTAGTGATAATGAAGGGGCTGTGAAAATGTTTTTCATGCTAGAGTTGTGGGTTCTCGAACCCCACTATCAACAAAAGTTTCTCTTTTTTTTTTAAAAAAAGAAGAAGCATGTTTTGCAATATTTTTCTCTTCTATCCTAAAATTTAGAATCCCAAACTTTTATCGTGCCTCTGAATTGGAATGTCATCTTTATATAAATTCTTGAACGAAATAACATTTTAACTATATATATATATGTGTACGTAGAGTCGTAGAGATTATATTTTTTACATCATCAATGTATATATATAACTAAAATAAAAGGTGCTTTTGGTATATTTAAAGTTGTTTCGAAGTGATAAAACATGTAAAATTTTAGGATGTATGTAGTGAGAGAAACCTCAATCTCAAGTTATGTTCTTTAGGCCAAAAGGGGATGGTATTTAGGAATCCATTAAGCTCAAACACTTTTCACAATGTTGCACACTTTTATTTAAAGACACTTGAAACAGATCTAGTACTCTAGCAATGAAATTCAAGAATGAAAGAATCATGTTAATAAAATCAAAAACTGAGTATCTAGTAACTTGTCGAGGGACCTGCAGTTGGCGTTTCACGCCTAATGTCTTCCAGTTGCTGGAGAATTTGCTGAAGTTCTGGTCGAGCTGATGGCGAGGGATCAACACAGTGCAAAGCCAATTTTAGTGTAACTAACAATTCATCACCAATTATGGATGCATCCCTCATTAGTTCCAAATCGAATACCTCTTTTGTTCCCTCCTCTTTCACAATTGACGCCACCTTTCTAGGCAAATCTACACCATTCACTGCCTCACCTGGAGACTTTCCAGTTAGGAGTTCAAGTATGATGACTCCGAGGCTGTAGACATCCGTCTTCACGTTGGCTTTCTTGAGCTTATTAAGCTCAGGTGCACGATAACCAAGTGCCCCTGCTGTGGCCATAACATTTGAATTTGCAGCAGCAGCTACAAGGCGTGAAAGGCCATAATCTGCAATTATTGCATCTGTGTTTTCATCAAGTAGAACATTGCTTGATGTAAGATTCCCATGAATGATGTTGGCATCAGTATGAAGGTACAGCAATCCCCTCGTCGTCCCTTTTGCTATTCTCATCCTTGTTGGCCAATCAATTGGTGTATCCGGTCCACGAGCTGCAACAAAAACAATAAAGCTATATTACCCCCTCCATAACAATTTCCTCCCCATGCGATCTCACAAGTGAGGTCTGGGGAGTGGGGAGTGTAGAGTGTACGTAGACCTTACCTACGTTGTGTGAGTTAGAGAAGTTGTTTCCGATATGATACATAATCCAATTTTCATTACGTTAAAATGAGACAGAGAAAGTATCTGATTCTCAAAAAAACAGAAGCAAAAGAATGTCAAATGGAAATCTGTTTTCTGCTTACCATGAAGAAAATTTGAG